AATTTTTGTATTTAATTCATATGTGGGTGCCACGCCCCCTACTGCTAGTCACCCCCTTTTCCCTTAAATAATCATATTGATCGTAAAGTGGGTCCTACAAAATTTCAGGACTCTATCTGTTATATTTTCTCAGATATACTGATTTAAGATTTTCTTCAAATGGAAAATGGCACGCCCACTATCGCCATTCGGCCCATTTTATCAAAAAATATTCTTATGGATGTCAAAGTTATCCATACAAAATTTGAGGACTCCAACTCTTACAGTTTCTGAGATATGCGACTTTTAACACTTATTTTGAAAGTAGGCGTGGCACGTCGGCCACTTGAAATTTTGAAGTAGCCTATAGTTCCTTTTTGAAAGTAGCCTATTGTTCCTTCCAGACAACGGGAAGACACTGTGAAAATTTCAGAAAAATCCGTCCAGCCGTTTAGCTGTCTATAAAGTCCAAACAAACAAACATGCAAACACACATTTATTTTTATACACATATATAGATAATACACAATTATGTATAATTAAAAGTAATGTAAAATAAAAGAAATCAACCACTCACCTATTCACCACTTGTTTCCTTTTCTTATAATCAATTTAATTTTATATGTGATTTATTCTCACATTTTTATTTCACTTTCTCAAAGCTTTTTTTAACGATTTGGACTTTATTTCCTCTTATTATTTTTTCAATGCACATAAAAGCTTTATTAACTTTAAAGCCTTTTCTTAAACCTTTTCGTTACTTTCCTTCTTTTTATTTCTCTTTCGCTATTCCCCTAAACAGGCGACCAACCAACCAACCATGCACATTCACACAAACAAACACTTTATATACAAACGAACAAATAGCCAAACTAAAGCAACATAACGAGTATTACCGACCGGCAAAAAAACTGCAAATTTTATTCAACAGAATTTAACTAATTTACTTGACATATTTTAACGTTATTTTTACACACGAATATTAAACAACATTTAAACTAAATAATTATGTAAAAATATTTGCAATTTATTCACTTTTAATAGGACTTTTTAATTAATTAAACGAACGCGAATCACCGAACACTTCAGAAATTTCTAGAAAACTAAAAACAAAATGCAAGTAATCGCTGTTGTTGTTGTTGTCTTTAGTACTCAGTTGCATAAAGTTATGTGTATTTGTTGTTATTCTCGAAGAGGGAGTTAGTGGGATAACAAAACAGTGCGTGAGTGGATTAAAAAGAAAGAGATTAAAAAGAGAGAAGTGTGGGGTGGTATGGGGAGTAGTAAGAAATCATTATTTAAAAGAGTAAAAGGTTCGTTAGTTTCGTGAAGGATATGAGAGTGCAAATATGCATGTAAGAAAAAGTTGTTAAAATAACAAAAAGAGTAAATTAATTATTTTTTTGTGGAAAAGAACAAATGCAGGATAGTTGAGTTAATATTTTCTTCCTGTTCAATTCTAATTAAGTTCTAGTTCAGTTCTAGTTCAGTTCTAATTCAGTTCTAGTTCAGTTCTAGTTCAGATCTAGTTCAGTTCTAGTTCACTTCTAGTTCAGTTCTAGTTCAATTCTAGTTCAATTCTGGTTCAATTCTAGTTCAGTTCTAGTTCAGTTCTAGTTCACTTCTAGTTCAGTTCTAGTTCAATTCTAGTTCAATTCTGGTTCAATTCTAGTTCAGTTCTAGTTCAGTTCTAGTTCTAGTTCAGTTCTAGTTCAGTTCTAGTTCAGTTCTAGTTCAGTTCTAGTTCAGTTCTAGTTCAGTTCTAGTTCAGTTCTAGTTCAGTTCTAGTTCAGTTCTAGTTCAGTTCTAGTTCAGTTCTAGTTCAGTTCTAGTTCAGTTCTAGTTCAGTTCTAGATCAGTTCTAGTTCTAGTTCAGTTCTAGTTCAGTTCTAGTTCAGTTCTAGTTCAGTTCTAGTTCAGTTCTAGTTCAGTTCTAGTTCAGTCCTAGTTCAGTTCTAGTTCAGTCTAGTCCGTAGTTCGTTCTAGTGTTCAGTCTAGTTCAGTAGTCAGTTATAGTTCTAGTTCTAAGTTCAGTTTTAGTCCAGTTCTAGTTTCAGTTCTAGTTCAGTTCTATTCAGTTCTAGTCCAGTTTCTAGTTTCAGTTCTAGTTCAGTTCTAGTTCAGTTCTAGGTTCAGTCAGTTCTAGTTTAGTTCATGTTCTAGTTCAGTTCTCGTTCAGTTCTAGTTCAGTTCTAGTTCTAGTTCAGTCAGTTCAGTGCTAGTTCAGTTCTAGTTTCAGTTCTAGTTCAGTTCGTAGGTTCTAGTTTCAGTTCTAGTTCAGTTCTAGTTCAGTTTCTAGTTCAGTTCTAGTTCAGTTCTAGTTCAGTTCTAGTTCAGTTCTAGTTCAGTCTAGTTCAGAGTTCTAGTTTCAGTTCTAGTCAGTTCTAGTTCAGTTCTAGTTCAGTTTCTAGTTTCAGTTCTGTTCAGTTCTACGTTCAGTTCTAGTTCAGTTTCTAGTTCATTCTAGTTCAGTTCTAGTCAGTTCTAGTTCAGTTCTAGTTCAGTTCTAGTTCAGTTCTAGTTCTAGTTCTTTCTAGTTCAGTTCTAGTTCAGTTCTAGTTCAGTTCTAGTTCAGTTCTAGTTCAGTTCTAGTCTAGTTCCTAGTTCAGTTCTAGTTCAGTTCTAGTTCAGTTATTCTAGTTCAGTTCTAGTTCGTTCTAGTTCAGTTCCTAGTTCAGTTCTAGTTTCAGTTCTAGTTCAGTTCTAGTTAGTTAGTTCAGTTCTAGTTCAGTTCTAGTTTCAGTTCTAGTTTCAGTTCTAGTTCAGTTCTAGTTCAGTTCTAGTTCAGTTCTAGTTCAGTTCTAGTTCAGTTATGTTCAGTTCTAGTTCAGTTCTAGTCAGTTCTAGTTCAGTTCTAGTCAGTTCTAGTTCAGTTCTAGTTCAGTTCTAGTTCAGTTCTAGTTCAGTTTCTAGTTCAGTTCTAGTTCAGTTCTAGTTCAGTTCTAGTTCCAGTTCTAGTTCAGTTCAGTTCTAGTTCAGTTCTAGTTCAGTTCTAGTTCAGTTCTAGTTCAGTTCTAGTTCAGTTCTAGTTCAGTTCTAGTTCAGTTCTAGTTCAGTTCTAGTTCAGTTCTAGTTCAGTTCTACTTCAGTTTTAGTTCAGTTCTAGTTCAGTTTAAGTCAGTTCTAGTTCTAGTTCAGATCTAGTTCAGTTCTAGTTCAGTTTTAGTTCAGTTTTAGTTCAGTTCTAGTTCAGTTCTAGTTCAGTTCTAGTTCAGTTCTAGTTCAGTTCTAGTTCCGTTCTAGTTCAGTTCTAGTTCAGTTCTAGTTCAGTTCTAGTTGAGTTCTAGTTCAGTTCTAGTTCAGTTCTAGTTCAGTTCTAGTTGAGTTCTAGTTCAGTTCTAGTTCAGTTCTAGTTCAGTTCTAGTTCAGTTCTAGTTCAGTTTTAGTTCAGTTTTAGTTCAGTTCTAGTTCAGTTCTAGTTCAGTTCTAGTTCTAGTTCAGTTCTTGTTCAGTTCTAGTTCAGTTCTAGTTCAGTTCTAGTTCGGTTCTAGTTCAGTTCTAGTTCAGTTCTAGTTCAGTTCTAGTTCAGTTCTAGTTCAGTTCTAGTTCAGTTCTAGTTCAGTTCTAGTTCAGTTCTAGTTCAGTTCTAGTTCAGTTCTAGTTCAGTTCTAGTTCAGTTCTAGTTCAATTCTAGTTCAGTTCTAGTTCAGTTCTAGTTCAGTTCTAGTTCAGTTCTAGTTCAGTTTTAGTTCAGTTTTAGTTCAGTTCTAGTTCAGTTCTAGTTCAGTTCTAGTTCAGTTCTAGTTCAGTTCTAGTTCAGTTCTAGTTCAATTCTAGTTCTAGTTCAGTTCTAGTTCAGTTCTAGTTCTAGTTCAGTTCTAGTTCAGTTCTAGTTCAGTTCTAGTTCAGTTTTGTTTTAGTTTAGTTCTAGTTCAGTTCTAGTTCACTTCTAGTTCAGTTCTAGTTCAGTTCTAGTTCAGTTCTAGTTTAGTTCTAGTTCAGTTCTAGTTCAGTTCTAGTTCAGTTCTAGTTCTAGTTCTAGTTCAGTTCTAGTTCAGTTCTAGTTCTAGTTCAGTTCTAGTTCAGTTCTAGTTCAGTTCTAGTTCAGTTCTAGTTCAGTTCTAGTTCAGTTCTAGTTCAGTTCTAGTTCAGTTCTAGTTCAGTTCTAGTTCTAGTTCAGCTCTAGTTCAGTTCTAGTTCAGTTCTAGTTCAGTTTTAGTTCAGTTCTAGTTCAGTTCTAGTTCAGTTCTAGTTCAGTTCTAGTTCAGTTCTAGTTCAGTTCTAGTTCAGTTCTAGTTCAGTTCTAGTTCAGTTCTAGTTCAGTTCTAGTTCAGTTCTAGTTCAGTTCTAGTTCAGTTCTAGTTCACTTCTAGTTCTGTTCTAGTTCAGTTCTTGTTCAGTTCTAGTTCAGTTCTAGTTCACTTCTAGTTCACTTCTAGTTCAGTTCTAGTTCAATTCTTGTTCAGTTCTAGTTCAGTTCTAGTCCAGGTCTAGTTCAGATCTAGTTATAGACTTCTAGATAAACTATAGTTCTAAAAATATTGAAATGCCAATTATAAACAGCTGACAAACATTTAATCACTTTCTTAACAAATTGTATTTAAGTACTCCATAATTAAGACTTTCTATAATATAATATTATTAATATATTATTGTCACTATTTGATTAATTTACTGTCCAAACTGTCCTTCGCTTAAAAATAACGGTCAATGAGTTCCGAAGCTCTTTAATATTTCAATGTCAAAATGTTTAATCAATAAATTAAATACATAACATAAATGTGCCAAAAATAAAACCCCATAAGGGCCAACGTATACATTTTGTTTAAACATAAAAATACAAGAACAACGTACATATTATGTTTGTTTTTTATCAGCAAACTCCCTAACTCATACCTTTGATAAGATAAGGGGGGAATTTAAAAATATGCGCTTACAGAAACACTTGTTGCTGTCGTTTAATAATAAACTTGAAAATATTTACTAATATTTAATGTAATAATCATCATAAACATTATAAATTCTTGAAGTGATTATGTTTTCTCTATCTCTCTCTCTCTCAACTTCCTGATACCCTCTAGGAACATCTAATACACTGTGGTCAGGTTTTGGAACAATGTCCTAATACTTGCAATGTATTTGTGCCACGCATACGTATGCGAGCCCATCTCAAAGAATGTCCTCGAATGTCCAAACGTAGAAGTGCCAGTTTGGAGAGAATAGATCAACAGGTCGATCATCGAGTACAGGTGGTGGAGAATGAAATAAACACTTTGAGATCGGTGCTTAACGAAGAGATACGCCAGCGTTTGCATTTGATCACAGATGTCGGAAACTTACGAAAACAAAATCAAATACATGATGAATGGACTCATGCTACAGAGGAGAATATTAAATCCCTACAGAAGCGTTTGCAAGAGGAAAACACTCAGCGCTGTTTTGAAGTCGAGCAGTGTCAACAGGATTTTCGTTATTGTTATGACATCACACAGGTTTGTTTGAAGAAGTTTATGGATTTTGAAAGTAACTAAATAGATTCCTTTTCCTCGCAAATATAGGCCTTAAAAACCGAAATTCAAAATGAGATAGATGATCTGGAAAAACACATAAATCAAATGTCTTTGGAAGTAACACAACATCAAAATCTTTTAAATGACAATATAATGAAATTGGAGGAAACAGTGGTGCAGAATGAAAAAAATAATAGGTATGTTTTTTAAGATTCCCAAAAACTTTTTAGCGATTTATTTCTTTATTTTAGAGATAAATTTATAGAAATTGAAAAATTTCTACAAGAAATCAATGTGGACTTAAATACAAAGTTAGCTCCTAATGATGGTAATGCTGCCAAAAATGCTGCCCTAGATTTAGAGGTGAAAAGTATGAAACATATTGTTTGTGAAACAGAGGAACGTTGTGATAAATTGGAGAAATTATTGGTTAAAACTGATCGTGATTTACATCATACAATGCAGCTGGTATCCGATTTGGAAAATCATATTGCCACCCAGCAACGTTTGACTAGTTATATTAATTCAAGAGGTGAGGAAAAAGATTGTAGTTGATAAGTTATAGTAATTTTGATAGGATCTTTAAAAGAAGCAGCGGTCTTGGAAATACGATATACTACCGGTTAACTTTGTAAGAATATATCAATGTTGAGTTTTAACTCCGTTACAGATCATTCTAAACTGGACATCCTCTGGGGTCTGGGAAAAACTTTAGGTATCTCATCACAATTTTGATAAAAAATAGGCAATTTCTTATATAATTTTAAAACTTAAACTTTTGAGTACTCTTTGGCTGCGACAATGCCAAATTTTTCCCGATCGAACCCAAATGTTTAGAAATGCCAGATTTATTTCCAAATAATTTCGATTCTTTCTAGTCTATAGTCTAGTCTATAATCTAGTATATAGTCTAGTCTAGTCTATAGTCTAGTCTATAGTCTAGTCTATAGTCTAGTCTATAGTCTAGTCTATAGTCTAGTCTATAGTCTAGTCTATAGTCTAGTCTATAGTCTAGTCTATAGTCTAGTCTATAGTCTAGTCTATAGTCTAGTCTATAGTCTAGTCTATAGTCTAGTCTATAGTCTAGTCTATAGTCTAGTCTATAGTCTAGTCTATAGTCTAGTCTATAGTCTAGTCTATAGTCTAGTCTATAGTCTAGTCTATAGTCTAGTCTATAGTCTAGTCTATAGTCTAGTCTATAGTCTAGTCTATAGTCTAGTCTATAGTCTAGTCTATAGTCTAGTCTATAGTCTAGTCTATAGTCTAGTCTATAGTCTAGTCTATAGTCTAGTCTATAGTCTAGTCTATAGTCTAGTCTATAGTCTAGTCTATAGTCTAGTCTATAGTCTAGTCTATAGTCTAGTCTATAGTCTAGTCTATAGTCTAGTCTATAGTCTAGTCTATAGTCTAGTCTAGCTAGTCTATAGTCTCTATAGTCTAGTCTATAGTCTAGTCTATAGTCTAGTCTATAGTCTAGTCTATAGTCTAGTCTATAGTCTAGTCTATAGTCTAGTCTATAGTCTAGTCTATAGTCTAGTCTATAGTCTAGTCTATAGTCTAGTCTATAGTCTAGTCTATAGTCTAGTCTATAGTCCTAGTCTATAGTCTAGTCTATAGTCTAGTCTATAGTCTAGTCTATAGTCTAGTCTATAGTCTAGTCTATAGTCTAGTCTATAGTCTAGTCTATAGTCTAGTCGTATAGTCTAGTCTATAGTCTAGTCTATAGTCTAGTCTATAGTCTAGTCTATAGTCTAGTCTATAGTCTAGTCTATAGTCTAGTCTATAGTCTAGTCTATAGTCTAGTCTATAGTCTAGTCTATAGTAGTCTAGTCTATAGTCTAGTCTATGTCTAGTCTATAGTCTAGTCTATAGTCCTAGTCTATAGTCTAGTCTAGTCTAGTCTATAGGTCTAGTCTATAGTCTAGTCTCTAGTCTAGTCTATAGTCTAGTCTATAGTCTAGTCTATAGTCTAGTCTATAGTCTAGTCTATAGTCTAGTCTATAGTCTAGTCTATAGTCTAGTCTATAGTCTAGTCTATAGTCTAGTCTATAGTCTAGTCTATAGTCTAGTCTATAGTCTAGTCTATAGTCTAGTCTATAGTCTAGTCTATAGTCTAGTCTATTAGTCCTAGTTAGTCTATAGTCTAGTCTATAGTCTAGTCTATTAAGTCTAGTCTATTACAGTCTAGTCTATTATAGTCTAGTCTATTATAGTCTAGTCTATAGTCTATAGTCTAGTCTATAGTCTAGTCTATAGTCTAGTCTATAGTCTAGTCTATAGTCTAGTCTATAGTCTAGTCTAGTCTATAGTCTAGTCTATAGTCTAGTCTAGTCTATAGTCTAGTCTATAGTCTAGTCTATAGTCTAGTCTATAGTCTAGTCTATAGTCTAGTCTATAGTCTAGTCTATAGTCTAGTCTATAGTCTAGTCTATAGTCTAGTCTATAGTCTAGTCTATAGTCTAGTCTATAGTCTAGTCTATAGTCTAGTCTATAGTCTAGTCTATAGTCTAGTCTATAGTCTAGTCTATAGTCTAGTCTATAGTCTAGTCTATAGTCTAGTCTATAGTCTAGTCTATAGTCTAGTCTATAGTCTAGTCTATAGTCTAGTCTATAGTCTAGTCTATAGTCTAGTCTATAGTCTAGTCTATATATAGTCAGTCTATAGTCTAAGTCTATAGCTAGTCTATAGTCTAGTCTATAGTCTAGTCTATATCTAGTCTATAGTTTAGTCTATTAAGTCTGTCTATTATAGTCTTAGGCTATATAGTCCTAGTCTATTTATAGTCTATTTCTATTATAGTCTAGTCTATTTATAGTCTAGTCTATTATAGTAAATCTATTATAGTCTAGATATTATAGTCTAGTTCTATTATGTCTAGATATTATAGTCTAGCTATTTAGTCTAGTCTAGATAGTCTAGTCTATATAGTATAGTCTATAGTCTAGTCTATAGTCGAGTCTAAAGGGCTAGTCTATTATAGTCTGTCTAAGTCTGTCTATAGTCTAGTCTATAGTCAAGTCTAAAGTCTAGTCTATAGTCAAGTCTATGGTCTAGTCTTTGGTCTACTCTATAGTGTAGTTATTATGTCCAGTCTGTAGTCTAGTCTACAGTATATTTTGTAGTTTATTATATAGTCTAGTCCATTGTCTGGTCTATAGTGTAATCTATAGTCTAGTCTATAGTCTAGTTTATAGTGTAGTCTAAAGTGTAGGCTGTAATCTAGTCTATAGTCTAGCGTGGTCTAAGTCTAGTATATAGTTTAGAGTCAAGTCTATAGTATAGTCTATAGTCTGATTTATATTCCAGCCATCTGTGTTTATTTGGAAAATTACAAAATTTCCTGATATTTAATAAATTTGACGTTTTCTAGTGGATTTTGCAAGAACCTTAATCTGACGGTTTCTAGCGGTTTTTGTGGTTTAACGGAAAATTGTAGAAAAATATTGGCAAGACTGGTCTTAAATCTATCTTGGAAAATCTTGTTATTGAAATTTTTCGAAAAATAAGATTACATATATCTTTATATAATTTGTTTACTTATTTTGAAGGTCACTTAATATGGCGTATAAAAGATTTCTCCAAAAAACTGGAAGAAGCTAAGCAGTATGATACCATCCTACACAGTGCCATGTTCTCCAATAAACCATTTGGTTATTCTTTAAGAGTAAGTAACTCTATCTCTTGTTTATTCGCCTTATACTTGTTAACAGCACTCTTTTGCAGCTTGATATTTATCTAAATGGCAAGGGCACTTGGAAGGGACGTAATATGATCGCATGTTTAAATGTTATAGCCGGAGAATATGATCCTCTACTCTCGTGGCCCTGTCGCCTACAGGCTGAGGTAATAATACGTGATCAAACTTATAATCAAGGAGAAACAGAGGATTATATTAAAATAGTGAATGTACGCAAGAAAAGTGATGATTATATACAAACTAAACAATTTTTCCATATACCCCACAGTGTATTGTCTCAACGTAATTATGTTAAGAACGATAGTATTTTTGTGGAAGTGAAAATTTTGAAAAATTGAGAAAATTTTCAATGATTTTATTATATAGTAAGTTATTAACTTGCAGTTCCTCGATTTGGAAAATGGGACTTTCGAAAGTGTTTTCTTTTCTTTCGTTTTGTTTGAACTGAAATGTTTCCAAATCAAATTTCTTTTGACATCGAGGTCTTGTAAATCAGTTTATAAAGCAATTTCCTAAGTACAGTTTAAGTTTATTTATAGGTGTTAAAATTATGATTAAAATTACAAAATACTTTTAAATTTATATTTTTAATATTTTTACTTTATTTATATAAATGTTTAGGAATAATAATAATAATAATAGTAATGGACAGTATTTGAAACAAAACAAAAATATGACAAAATTTAACAAAAAATAGTAATGAGTTTTTATTTAATTTTTTAATAAATATTGAATTTTGTAAATTTAATTTTGAAATTTTTATAATTTTAATTTCTTAGTGACATTTTAAATGCAATTTCTGTCGAAGATTTTTGAGATTTTCTTTTTTTTTATTAATTGTTTTAAACAATTTTTTACACATATTTTAATAGTAATTGATGAACAAATTTAATTGATGAAAAAGTTAAAATTATATTCGATTTTGAGAATAAGTTGTATAATAATAAAAAAAACTAACTTTATATTGGTTTTTCCTTTTAATAAAAAATATATTATTTAAAAAAAAATTGTATTGTAGTTTTCCTCGCCCTATTTCATCGCGCATAAAACTTAAGAGTTGGAACGTTGTTCTCCAACTAAAGCATACAAGGCATGTTTATAGTGACCCGAGGTATCACCCTTAATCCAACTCTTCAAACTCTTGCCGTACATACGCTCGAAAGCCACCTTAATATCAGCCATATCGATCTGTAATATTTTAAAGAAAAACATATGTTAATTTTTCTTAATTAAATTTTTTGAAATTAGTTTGATCACTTACCTCGCATCTGGTTATAATTACACGAATCAATTGTTTATCATTGGTGCCAATACCGGCCATACTTTTGTGTAAACGTGATGCAAAATATTCAGCCTTATTAGTGCAGCAACGATAAATGGCTATAAGACCTTCCATAATATCTCCCGAGAATTCTTTCTTAATAGCCTTCTCCAATGAATGACCAGTCATGTGTTCGTATTCTTGGAAAATCTGTTAATGAAAGAGCAATAACGAATTAATTTAAGATTTTCTTAGAGTTATAAAAGGGTAATGTAGTCTGTAGATCAGACTATAGTCTCAAATCCAAACTATAAGCTATTGTCCAGTTTATAGGCCAGACTATAGTCCAGAATATAGTCTATAGAGCAGACTATAGTCTATAGGCCAGACTATGTATAGTCTATAGGCCAGACTGTAGTCTACAGGCCAGACAATAGTCTAGAGTGCAGACTATAATTTATAGTCTATAGTCCAGATTATAGTCTATAGTCCAGACTACGGTCTATAGTCCAGACTATGGTCTATAGTCCAGACTATAGTCTAAAGTCCAGACTATAGTATATAGTCCAGACTATAGTATATAGTCCAGACTATAGTATATAGTCCAGACTATAGTATATAGTCCAGACTATAGTCTATAGTCCAGGCTATAGTCCAGACTATAGTCTATAGTCCAGGCTATAGTCCAGACTATAGTCTATAGTCCAGACTATGGTCTATAGTCCAGTCTATAGTCCAGGCTACAGTCCAGACTATAGTCTATAGTCCAGACTATGGTCTATAGTCCAGTCTATAGTCCAGGCTACAGTCTATAGTCCAGAATAGTCTATAGTCCAGACTATAGTCTATAGTCCAGACTATAGTCTATAGTCCAGACTATAGTCTATAGTCCAAACTACAGTCTATAGTCCAGGCTATAGTCCAGACTATAGTCTATAGTCCAGACTATAGTCTATAGTCCACTATGGTCTATAGTCTACAATCCAGACTATAGTCTATAGACCACACTATAGTCTATAGTCCACACTATAGTCTATAGTCCAGACTATAGTCTGTAGTCCAGACTATAGTCTATGGTCCATACTATAGTTTATAGTCCAGACTATAACCTATAGTCCAGACTATAGTCCAGACTTTAGTCTCTAGTCCAGACTATAGTTTATAGTCCAGACTATAGTCTATAGTCCAGACTATAGTCTATAGTCCAGACTATAGTCTATAGTCCAGACTATAGTCTATAGTCCAGACTATAGTCTATAGTCCAGACTATAGTCTATAGTCCAGACTATAGTCTATAGTCCAGACTATAGTCTATAGTCCAGACTATAGTATAGTCCAGACTATAGTCTATAGTCCAGACTATAATCCATAGTCCAGACTATAGTCAATAGTCCAGACTACGGTCTATTGTCCAGACTATGGTCTATTGTCCAGATTATAGTTTATAGTTCAAACTATAGTCTATAATCCAGACTATATTCTATAGTCTAGACTATAGTCTATAGTCCAGACTATATTCTATAGTCGAGAGTATAGTCTATAGTCCAGACTATAGTCTATAGTCCAGACTACAGTGCAGACTATAGTGCAGACTATCGTCCAGACTATAGTGCAGACTATAGTCCTGACTATAGTCTATAGGCCAGACTATATTATATAGCCCAGACTATAATCCATAGTCCAGACTATATTAACCTGATACTCACCAATTTCAATTGTTGATAATTGCGCTGACACAAGATCATATTAAACATGCTCTCATCAGTGCCCACACGCAATTCACCAGCCTTTAGCAATTCACGAGCATCAGACTGAGCAGCAGCTTGATCAGTGTGACCACTTTCATCACGAGCAGCGGTGCAAAGAGAGACCAATAAACGTTTAAAGTTGCCAGAAGTTTCAGATTTTAGTTCAGACTCCAAATGGGCACCATATACTAAAACAAACAACAACAATTAAAAAATGTAACTCTTATTTTTCTCGTAAACCCCAAAAAACGTACATCTCAAATACTGATTTTTAATGGTATGAATTTCATGATTCGATAAAGTACATAAAATTTCAATTAATACATCTTCATCGGTACCCAGACCAGCCATGGCATCATTCAATTCACAGCAATAGTAATCAACAATGGGACGCAAAAGTCCCACAAGAAGCTTTTCAAAATTGCCACTAGTTTCGGATTTGATGTCTTCGATAAGGTCTTTGCCAAAATGTGTTTTATATTGACGTTGGATTTCCTATTAGAGAATAGTAGGAAAATAAATTGAAATATTTAGTTTAGTTCAGAACCTTTTATATATAGTTTTGTATAAAAAGCTCTATTAAGCTTTTTTCCATTAAGTTCTTATCTAAACTTTAGTGTATTGTTTTTGTAACGTTAAATTGTTCACACTTACTTGTCTTTGTTCGTTAGAACGTCTGCATATGATATTGATTAGGGCATCCTCATCGGTACCGAAACCTTTCATAGCCTTACGCAAATCATGGGCATCTTTAACGGGGTCAAAATTTTGAGCTGGGAAAACAGTGGGTGTGCCCTTTAAAATAAAAATGATAAAATCATTAATGAAAATGTTCCATAAATAATGAAGTTTAATAACATTTTATAATACTCGGGAATTTTTACTGAGGTTTACTAATTATTAGATAATTATGAAAATCATTTTTCAAAATAACTTAATTTGATTAAAATCATAATATCTGATCTGGCGTCATTAATATACAGGGAAACTATGCTACAAGTACTTTGAAAATTTCAAGGAAATTTGGGATATAACTTTATTATTGAAAGCTATTTAAAATAGAGTTAGTTTGAATACTGGGGGATTAACTTGAAAATAAATTCTATCCACACTCACTATGGATGAATTTAGTTGAAAGTCAAATTGTGTAAAAGATCAGCAAAAGTTAATAATTCGGTCTTCTCCATTTTCTATACCGCTAAGAAAATGAAAGTAGTATTCAACATCATTAACATAATTATAATATAAGACAAGATTTTAATTATATTATTACATTACGATCTAATGAATGAACGATAAATTTCGAGTTACGAATCTATGGTTTTCTAGAATGATCCAGTAAAAAGTAGCTGCAGTTCTACTATTGCTATAGATATAGTGCAAGAATCTTTTTATTCTCAATCTAGTCTATAGTCTGGTCTATAGTCAAGTCTATGGTCTAGTCTATAGTCCAGTCTATAGTCTAGTCTAGTCTCTAGTCTAGTCTATAGTCTAGTCTATAGTCTAGTCTATAGTCTAGTCTATAGTCTAGTCTATAGTCTAGTCTATAGTCTAGTCTATAGTCTAGTCTATAGTCTAGTCTATAGTCTAGTCTATAGTCTAGTCTATAGTCTAGTCTATAGTCTAGTCTATAGTCTAGTCTATAGTCTAGTCGATAGTCTAGTCTATAGTCTAGTCTATAGTCTAGTCTATAGTCTAGTCTATAGTCTAGTCTATAGTCTAGTCTATAGTCTAGTCTATAGTCTAGTCTATAGTCTAGTCTATAGTCTAGTCTATAGTCTAGTCTATAGTCTAGTCTATAATCTAGTCTATAGTCTAGTCTAGTCTATAGTCTAATCTATAGTCTAGTCTATAGTCTAGTCTATAGTCTAGTCTATAGTCTAGTCTATAGTCTAGTCTATAGTCTAGTCTATAGTCTAGTCTATAGTCTAGTCTATAGTCTAGTCTATAGTCTAGTCTATAGTCTAGTCTATAGTCTAGTCTATAGTCTAGTCTATAGTCTAGTCTATAGTCTAGTCTACAGTCTAGTCTATAGTCTAGTCTATAGTCTAGTCTATAGTCTAGTCTATAGTCTAGTCTATAGTCTAGTCTATAGTCTAGTCTATAGTCTAGTCTATAGTCTAGTCTATAGTCTAGTCTATAGTCTAGTCTATAGTCTAGTCTAGTCTAGTCTATCTATAGTCTAGTCTATAGTCTAGTCTATAGTCTAGTCTATAGTCTAGTCTATAGTCTAGTCTATAGTCTAGTCTATAGTCTAGTCTATAGTCTAGTCTATAGTCTAGTCTATTGTCTAGTCTATAGTCTAGTCTATAGTCTAGTCTATAGTCTAGTCTATAGTCTAGTCTATAGTCTAGTCTATAGTCTAGTCTATAGTCTAGTCTATAGTCTAGTCTATAGTCTAGTCTATAGTCTAGTCTATAGTCTAGTCTATAGTCTAGTCTATAGTCTAGTCTATAGTCTAGTCTATAGTCTAGTCTATAGTCTAGTCTATAGTCTAGTCTATAGTTCAGTCTCTAGTCTAGTTTAGTAGTCTATAGTTAGTCTATAGTCTAGTCTATAGTCTAGTCTCTAGTTCTAGTCTATAGTTCTAGTCTATAGTCTAGTCTATAGTCTAGTCTATAGTCTAGTCTATAGTCTAGTCTATAGTCTAGTCTATAGTCTAGTCTATAGTCTAGTCTATAGTCTAGTCTTATAGTCTAGTCTATAGTCTAGTCTATAGTCTAGTCTATAGTCTAGTCTATAGTCTAGTCTATAGTCTAGTCTATAGTCTAGTCTATAGTCTAGTCTAGTCTATAGTCTAGTCTATAGTCTAGTCTAGTCTAGTATAGTCTAGTCTAGGTCTAGTCTATGTCTAGTCTAGTCTAGTCTATAGTCTAGTCTATAGTCTAGTCTATAGTCTAGTCTATAGTCTAGTCTATAGTCTAGTCTAGTCTAGTCTAGTCTAGTCTATAGCTCTAGTCTATAGTCTAGTCTATAGTCTAGTCTATAGTCTAGTCTATAGTCTAGTCTATAGTCTAGTCTATAGTCTAGTCTATAGTCTAGTCTATAGTCTAGTCTATAGTCTAGTCTATCGTCTAGTCTATAGTCTAGTCTATATAGTCTAAGAGGCTATAGTCTAGTCTATAGTCTAGTCTATAGTCTAGTCTAGTCTAGTCTATAGTCTAGTCTATAGTCTAGTCTATAGTCTAGTCTATAGTCTAGTCTATAGTCTAGTCTATAGTCTAGTCTATAGTCCTAGTCTATAGTCTAGTCTATAGTCTAGTCTATAGTCTAGTCTATAGTCTAGTAGTCTATAGTCTAGTCTATAGTCTAGTCTATAGTCTAGTCTATAGTCTAGTCTATAGTCTATCTATAGTCTAGTCTATAGTCTAGTCTATAGTCTAGTCTATAGTCTAGTCTATAGTCTAGTCTATAGTCTAGTCTATCTAGTCTAGTCTATAGTCTAGTCTATAGTCTAGTCTATAGTCTAGTCTATAGTCTAGTCTATAGTCTAGTCTTAGTCTAGTCTATAGTCTAGTCTATAGTCTAGTCTATGTCAGTCTATAGTCTAGTCTATAGTCTAGTCTATAGTCTAGTCTATAGTCTAGTCTATAGTCTAGTCTATAGTCTAGTCTAGTCTATAGTCTAGTCTATAGTCTAGTCTATAGTCTAGTCTATAGTCTAGTCTATAGTCTAGTCTATAGTCTAGTCTATAGTCTAGTCTATAGTCTAGTCTATAGTCTAGTCTATAGTCTAGTCTATAGTCTAGTCGATAGTCTAGTCGATAGTCTAGTCTATAGTCTAGTCTATAGTCTAGTCTATAGTCTAGTCTATAGTCTAGTCTATAGTCTAGTCTATAGTCTAGTCTAGTCTAGTCTATAGTCTAGTCTATAGTCTAGTCTATAGTCTAGTTTAGTCTATAGTCAATTCTATTGTCTTGTGTATAGTCCAGTTTATAGTCTACTTTATCCCATTTCCTAGTCTAGTTTATAGTCGAGACTAGATTATAGAGTAGTCTTAAAGAATGTTTCATTAATCACATAATTTCATCTTAAAATAGTCAACAAATTTAACCAGTAACAGAAAATACAAAAAAAATCTTAATAAAATAATTAATACACATTTCCTCCCACCATTCATTAAAGGTTGTCCATTTCCGCCCGTAAAAAATTAGTTTATACACATGACTATGACTATAAAATAATTGCAGCGGTAATGGACTTTTTAGTACAATATAATTATAGTACAATTATATTAAATTATAAATTTAAAAACTAGCAGGCAAATTCATAAGCAAGCAAATTCATTTTTATAAAGTTTTTCATAGTTTCAAGCATTTTTTTTACAAAATATAGAAACAATGGAGTTAAATACATACATCCTCATCCGTTAGATCATTATTATCATTAACAGCATAATATTGTTTTTCAGAAATTTCAACATAACTATCATCATCATATAAAAATTCCGATGAAAACCCCAACTTTGATATAATAAATCAATATTGAAATATTTTTATAAATTAATGTATACAATTTTTAGAATAATTTCGAAACGATCATCGAAATTGAAGAGCCTTATTTGGTAAAACTTAGAATATCGAAACTAATCTTTTTTAAACTAAATTTGGGTTTTACAAAATGAGGCCCCTGAAACCCTAACTAATGACTTTTTTAGCTTTAGCTAGGTGTCTGACTAACTAACCTCTTTGCGTGGCATAGGATGATGATGTATGGGATGACCTTGTCTTTGAGCCAATTCTTCAAAACAGTGTTGAATATTGCCAGCTGGTGATTCGAGGCCACCTGAAGTACGTATGGGTGTATAACCATGTTGTGGATTATACGATGTTGGATGATTCGATGTATTAATGGGAGTAGCATATTGTGGATTATGATAGTGTGATGATTGTGATGATGATGAGGGGGCTACCGAAGGATATGCAGCCTGTTGTGGATTGTGAGGATAAGATGAACCAGGATAGGGAGCACCTTGATTACCACTTGGTGGATAAGGTGGTTGATTAGAGGGATAGGGTGCAGTATGAGGATAAGGTGATGCAGTGGGATAAGGAGCTCCACCAGCACCATTGTGTGTGGGATATGGAGCAGAATTATGTGTAGGATAGGGTGCTGAATTTGTTTGATAGTGTACATTCGATTGTTGTTGTTGCTGTTGCTGATGTGGATGCTGTGTTGGTGCTATCCAGCCAGCACCGAATGGCACACCAGCTGGCATACCGCTATGTTGATTATTCGTATTATAACCTGTAGATGTGGCGTGTGGTTGTGGCATACCGGATCCCTATAAATAACAAGAAGAATATCCAAACAATCACAAGTTTCGTTAAGTTTAGTTGTTTAGAAAGTAAGAAATCGTAAATACAGCAAAAAAATATTATTGTAAGGAATAACACAATAAGCTGACACTAAAATATTCCGAAAAGTGTGATGTTTGATCTGAAGTGGCAATATGATTGTTGACTTAAATAAAATGAAGGAGGTAAGGATGTAGTAAGAATTGAAATAATTATTTCTATAACTATGAAAAGGAAATATTACCGAAGGCACTTCTAAGACTCAATAGGTGTCACTGCAATTACAAAAAGTTTCTGAGGGCTTGACAGCATCAACGAATCGTACTTATGAGAAAACGAAAATGATCTGGCCCCGTTAATGCAGTTTTTAAAAGCACTAACTATTTAAAAGGGAATCGAAAGATTAGGTTCAAAAATGGGATTTATCTGATTAGGTAAAACTCCAGTCATAGATCAAAATGTGCCAACGTGATTCTTTTCTGTTGAAAGCAAAGAGATAAGAGGATAAAAGGAAAGAGAGAGAGGGAGAACGAAACGGCTATCGGAAGCACTTAGTCTAATTCTAGGTTAGAAAGGAAGTGGAACTGCTAAAGTGTATTGATAAAAGGCGGACACTAATGCTCGGTAGGTCATTGTGGAACTTAGCAGTGTCGGCTGAGACTATATAGGACAATAACAATATAGAAGAACTCAGCAACCTCTAACTGTTCAACTAACTAACTAACTAACTAACTAACTAACTAACTAACTAACTAACTAACTAACTAACTAACTAACTAACTAACTAACTAACTAACTAACTAACTAACTAACTAACTAACTAACTAACTAACTAACTAACTAACTAACTAACTAACTAACTAACTAACTAACTAACTAACTAACTAACTAACTAACTAACTAACTAACTAACTAACTAACTAACTAACTAACTAACTAACTAACTAACTAACTAACTAACTAACTAACTAACTAACTAACTAACTAACTAACTAACTAACTAACTAACTAACTAACTAACTAACTAACTAACTAACTAACTACTAACTAACTAACTAACTAACTAACTAACTAACTAACTAACTAACTAACTAACTAACTAACTAACTAACTAACTAACTAACTAACTAACTAACTAACTAACTAACTAACTAACTAACTAACTAACTAACTAACTAACTAACTAACTAACTAACTAACTAACTAACTAACTAACTAACTAACTAACTAACTAACTAACTAACTAACTAACTAACTAACTAACTAACTAACTAACTAACTAACTAACTAACTAACTACTAACTAACTAACTAACTAACTAACTAACTATTGGTCACAGACCCACAAAACTGAATATATTCTGGGTCCTTATAAAACTCTGAGACGATTTAGCCATATCCGTCCGTCTGTCTGTTGAAAACATGATAATAGGGTCCGAATCGAAAGAGGTAGACAGTTGAAAATATCTCTTATAAGTAAGGTTTTCGAAAATGAACAATATTGCTCAAAGTTTCTGCATAGTTCCCATAGTGGCCTCCGAAAACCAGTTTTAACTTTCATATCTCTTTTTAAAGATTCAAGTACAACGATGCAATTCGCCACAAACCGGTTCTATACGAACAAAAAACTTTCTTCTATATTTTATGGCGATCGGTGCATAATTGACCCTATCACCGTATAAGATCATCTTTAAAAAATTGTTTAAAGGCTTATTTTTGGCTTAAAAATTCGAATACACCGACGAAGTTCGATATAAAGATGTTTTATATGAAAGACAATCTATCTATCGAATTTGATTAGGATAGGTTTATAACGGACCCAACCCCCCATATAAGGTCCCCTTCGGAAAATTACTTTAATGCTCATTACAGGCTTAATAATACGAGTACAGTGTTAAAATTCGACATAAACAAGTTTTATACGAAGCAAAATCACTCCAACAGATCTTATAAATATCGGTCGATAATTGACCCAATCTCCCATATAAGACCCCTTCCAAAAATGGCGTTAAAGCTTATTACTGGTTAGAATATAACGAATATAACACTTTCAGCATTTTCTGACAGACATAATACTATATCGATGCCTGAACGAATTCTGCCAAAAATTTCAGCAGGGTTTTACAAGTTCTTAAGGTTGATATATGAATATGTATCGGTTTAACCCACAATGACCTATTTTTAAAATGCATGCAATAAACTGAGATGATTCAAAACTGTTTAAATACGTTTCATTTTAGAATTATGTATAAATAAATAATATTAAAATATAATAAAATATTCCATAATTACTGATTAGCAATTTCAAGTGTATAAAACATTTATCAGCCACTTTGCCACACCACATCATAATTTTGATATTTTTAACAAAACCGCATTAGAAATAAAATAACTTAAATATTTTCATTATAAATTAAATAATTTAAAAATAAAATTGAGTACATTAACGTTTGGTTTATAACAATAAAATAAACAAAACCGACATGCGTTTAGAAAATAAATATTTAGAAAGGTGTTTTTAATAAAATGAAAATATTAACATTTTATCATTTTTAGATTTAAAAAATTTCAAACAAAAATTTGTTAGTAAAAATAACACACACATGCTTTTTAAAATAATTTTTGAAAATTTATTAAAAATTTTTTTTAACATTTAAAAAATACTTACAAATGGATACATTTTGTAGTTGTAGTTTTTCGCAGTAAAAATAAGGCTTTTAGCAAAGAGTTAATTCTTTTAAAATCTGCAATGATAAAAATAAACAAAATAAATATTTCTTTAAGTATTTTAATTGTAAACTAATAAATTGCTTTTAAATTATTTTGTATTGATAAAACAAAACAAGTTGAGTTTCTAAAAAAAATATCTTATCAATTTCTATTTAAAAATTTAAACAATAAAACATGAGGGTAATCACAGTTTATAGAGAAAACTAAGCAAATTTTCCCCTGCTATTTTAAAAAATTTTCTATTTTTAATTTTATTTAAAATTCCCTAATTTTTAGTTTTAAATTTTTTTTTAAATTAAACATTTTTTCTCTAACCTTAATACCCCTAATGTTTTGTAGTTTATTCACATTCTATATTTTGGCACACTTGTGTCTTTTTCTACACCCCCAGCCCTCTTTGTTCATCAATTTTACCGCAATATACACTATATACTTTGTTAAAGACACACACCAATTTGTATCTCAATTTTTGCGATACACACTTGTCTGCATTCAAACGTATTTTATAGATATTTCGATATGTCGTTCGTAGCACAAATATGCAGTGACGTCATGCCATTTTTATTGACAAAGTCAAAGCAAATATTGAAGGAAAATTGTGAAATGTGGACATAGAAAAAAACGGTAAATTGTATATAGTTTATGGTGGTATAAAAAAAACTAACAAGTTTTTTTTTTCGTTTAAGTGCACATTTTTGCAATAAATATCAATGAACTTGTTTCTGGCGTGCTAAACTAAGGGGAAGTATAGCTCCTAGAAAAATGTCATATTCAACTTGTACTTTCAAATTGGAACTAAATCATTGTTTATATTCATAACTTTCTATAGAAAACTTAATATAAATTTTCTTTTTATAGAAAATTTATGATAAATTTTCTTTCGATAGGTAAAGACTAAATATTAGGCCATAGATTAGACTATAGATTAGACTAAAAACTAGACTATAAACTAGCTATAGACTAGACTATAAACTAGACTATAAACTAGACTATAGACTAGACTATAGACTAGACTATGGACTAGACTATAGACTAGACTATAGACTAGACTATAGACTAGACTATAGACTAGACTATAGACTAGACTATAGACTAGACTATAGACTAGACTATAGACAAGACTATAGACTAGACTATAGACAAGACTATAGACTAGACTATAGACACGACTATAGACTAGACTATAGGCTAGACTATAGACTAGACTATAGGCTAGACTATAGACTAGACTATAGACTAGACTATAGACTAGACTATAGACCAGACTATAGACTAGACTATAGACTAGACTATAGACTAGACTATAGACTAGACTATAGAGTAGACTATAGACTAGACTATAGACTAGACTATAGACTAGACTAGACTATAGACTAGACTAGACTATAGACTAGACTATAGACTAGACTATAGACTAGACTATAGACTAGACTATAGACTAGACTATAGACTAGACTATAGACTAGACTATAGACTAGACTATAGACTAGACTAGACTATAGACTAGACTATAGACTAGACTAGACTATAGACTAGACTATAGACTAGACTATAGACTAAACTATAGATTAGACTATAGACTAGACTATAGACTAGACTATAGACTAAACTATAGATTAGACTATAGACTAGACTATAGACTAGACTAGACTATAGACTAGACTATAGACTAGATTATAGACTAGACTATAGACTAGACTATAGACTAGACTATAGACTAGACTATACTCTAGACTATAGACTAGACTATAGACTAGACTATAGACTATAGACTAGACTATAGAGTAGACTATAGACTAGACTATTGACTAGACTATAGACTAGACTATAGACTAGACTATAGACTAGACTATAGACTAGACTATAGACTAGACTATAGACTAGACTATAGACTAGACTATAGACTAGACTATAGACTAGACTATAGACTAGACTATAGACTAGACTATAGACTAGACTATAGACTAGACTATAGACTAGACTATAGACTAGACTATAGACTAGACTATAGACTAGACTATAGACTAGACTATAGACTAGACTATAGACTAGACTATAGACTAGACTATAGACTAGACTATAGACTAGACTATAGACTAGACTATAGACTAGACTATAGACTAGACTATAGACTAGACTATAGACTAGACTATAGACTAGACTATAGACTAGACTATAGACTAGACTATAGACTAGACTATAGACTAGACTATAGACTAGACTATAGACTAGACTATAGACTAGACTATAGACTAGACTATAGACTAGACTATAGACTAGACTATAGACTAGACTATAGACTAGACTATAGACTAGACTATAGACTAGACTATAGACTAGCTATAGCTAAGTCTATAGTCTAGTCTATAGTCTAGTCTATAGTCTAGTCTATAGTCTAGTCTATAGTCTAGTCTATAGTCTAGTCTATAGTCTAGTCTATAGTCTAGTCTATAGTCTAGTCTATAGTCTAGTCTATAGTCTAGTCTATAGTCTAGTCTATAGTCTAGTCTATAGTCTAGTCTATAGTCTAGTCTATAGTCTAGTCTATAGTCTAGTCTATAGTCTAGTCTATAGTCTAGTCTATAGTCTAGTCTATAGTCTAGTCTATAGTCTAGTCTATAGTCTAGTCTATAGTCTAGTCTATAGTCTAGTCTATAGTCTAGTCTATAGTCTAGTCTAGTCTAGTCTATAGTCTAGTCTATAGTCCTAGTCTATAGTCTAGTCTATAGTCTAGTCTATAGTCTAGTCTATAGTCTAGTCTATAGTCTAGTCTATAGTCTAGTCTATAGTCTAGTCTAGTCTAGTCTATAGTCTAGTCTATAGTCTAGTCTATAGTCTAGTCTATAGTCTAGTCTATAGTCTAGTCTATAGTCTAGTCTATAGTCTAGTCAATAGTCTAGTCTATAGTCTACTCTATAGTCTAGTCTATAGTCTAGTCTATAGTCTAATCTATAGTTTAGTCTATAGTCTAGTCTATAGTCTAGTCTATAGTCTAGTCTAGTCTATAGTCTAGTCTATAGTCTAGTCTAGTCTATAGTCTAGTCTATAGTCTAGTCTATAGTCTAGTCTATAGTCTAGTCTATAGTCTAGTCTATAGTCTAGTCCAACGGTTCCCAAAAGGGGGTCCGCGGACCCCTAGTGGTCCGTAGCAAAATCCTAGGGGGTCCGCGAGACGAACGAAAAAATCATGAATAAAAAATATTCTCTATATGTTACAAAATATTAAAAATATCTCCAAATTTTTCATAAATACTAAAATACACAATTTTTATTCAATAATCCCAGATTTGTTGGTGACTCTTTGAATTTTATTGTTTCGGTCGTTTATCAGGATGAAGCTAGGCCCTACAAATTTATTGTTTCACTTTTATAAAGTAAAGTATTACGTGATTTGTAATTTTTATAAATATATATGTATCGAAATAAATGTTTTTATAGCAGACGGATAATGATTTGCCTTAGAATTAAATACTGATAGTGGTATCCCGGAATATGAAGTTAGGTCACATTTCATAATATTTTTTTAAATTGTAAGCAAAAGTGTTAATCTAGTTAATTTTAAATATAAATATTCCATTCCAACGTGATACACAGATTTTAACTTCATTTTGTTGTCCAATATTATTAAATCAACATCAGAAAATTCATAGCGTTTTGCGTAAATAGTCAAAACTATATTTTTCGTAGGTATTTTAAAATTCAAATTTAAGATCCAAATTCACAGTACATTCGCAAAGAGTTCAGATCATATTTTATGTGGGTAACGCATTCCGCAACAACATCGAAGAAGTCTAACTTTCACATATTTTCCCGAAAACTTAGCTTACATACTCAGCTCACTCCTATGCAATCGCAAAAAAATTTAGAAACATGACTCTTTAAGCACATGTCGACAATACTTGTTAAAGAAACCTTTTCTCTACCTTGACGAGAAATGAACATGAAAGCTCTCACGATCATAAAATTAAACATCATGTTAGAAGTCATTCTATATTTAAAACCATGAAATTGAAAACATCTCCGAAATACTAAATGTTCTCAATGTACGGGAATTTATGGACCAGGACTAAGACAATTTTCGGACGAACAATTACACAGTGATACAGCAAAAAAATGCAGGGGTTCTCATATACCAATTCCATTTTGTTATAGTCCATAGAGTAGGAATTTATTTTTAATTTTTCCCGATCACTTCGTTTAGTTCCTTTTTAAGAGCAAAAGTTGTGAAAAAGAGCTATTTTTGAAGTTTTAACTTTAAAAAAAATATATGTTTGGTAGTTTGCAACCGATTTTCAAATTGGATATTTTGTTTTAAAGATACAAGTGTTGTCTTTCAACCCAAAAAAATAAATCCAAAATTTATGATTAATGTCTTGGTTACGGCCATTTAAGTAAAAAAACTCACACTTTTTTCACAATTTTTATACCCACCATCAAAAAAGATGGGGGGTATATTGATTTTGTCATTCCGTTTGTAACACATCGAAATATTGGTCATAGACCCACAAAAGTATATATATTCTGGGTCCACATTAAATTCTAAGACGATCTAGCCATGTCTGTCCGTCTGTCCGTCCGTCTGTCTGTCTGTCTGTTGAAAGCACGATAGCGTCCCAATGGAAAGAGCTAGAGGGTTGAAATTTCACATAAATATTTCTTATAGGTAAGGTTTGTTTGGTATTGAAAATGGGCAATATCGGTCACGTTTTCGGATAGCCCCCATACAAGTGGCCCCTCGAAAAGCAGCTTTAACAGCCATAACTTGTTTAAAAATACGAATATAGCGATGAAGTTCGACGTAAGTAAGTTTCTTATGATCCACAATCACTATGCAAAATTTTATGAGGATCGGTCCATAATTGACCCAACCCCCCATATAAGGTCCCCTTCAGAAAATGACTTTAACGCTCATTAATGGCTTAAAAATACGAGTGTAGCGATGAAATTCGACACAAATAAATTTAATACGAACCAAATTCTGTCTTCCAAATTTTATGAGGATCGGTCCATGATT